AGAGGTGATCCCAAGGCGTGCTGAGAAGCTTCGCATGGTTTCCGCACATGTGAAGTAGACAGGCAGCGTGTGACCCTGTCCAACCGTCACAGTGGTGCTACTGCTCAATAAGGCAACTTGTGCTCGAACAGCTAGGGGTCCACATAAGTGGAGTACTGAACAAGATAATTTCAATCAAAACGTACGAGCAACGCTTACTTCACTTGGCTATGGTCTTCATGATTCGCAGTATTCAACGTCAGAGTCTTTCATTCAGATCTGTCTCCTAATGGCTTGAATCTACCTTTAGAGCTTGTTAGATTGGACTGTACAGAGGTGCAGAGGTCAAGCATTCTTTGCCTGGTATCAAGAAACGTTCCTATCTCTGAGAAGTTCTTCACTCTTTCTTGGTACACCACCGTCGCCCTCCCTACCCACAACTCTCGAGCCACCTGTCAAGGAAGGGACAGTCTCCCCAGAATCTTTCCTCTCTGCAAGTCTTTATTTGCTACTCTTTCAATGAGGTGATTTGTACGGTCGATTTGTCTGGCTTTAGTGAATCGAGAAAATGTTCACGCCGCCTGCCTTCATCTCACGTTGATTATGCAATTTGGTGCCCGAGAGTAATGCAAGCTGGCTACTATGAATGCGAATTGCCCGAGTCCCCATGACGTATAAACTCTGCTTTCCGCTGCAGAGCACCGCTTTCAAGCATATCAACGAGTAGCCAAAAGCCGTGGGTACAAGGAGCGAACCCCCCTTGGGATCTTCGAGATTGTCATCAAAACCCGGTGGCCGGAAGCTCACCTCCATTTGTACACCGGATTCCAATGGTCAAGTGAATCTGTTCGTACTCAAGTGATAGCTGTCAGTGTGCATAAGGAAGACCTGTGTGCTGCTCAAGCAAACGAGTCTACTGCTGTCATTGGAGCAGGCACACCTGCAAGCACTTCACAACAAACACATCAGATCGTGAACAAGGAACCTTAGGAATGTGCAAGGAAGGAAAGACGCAAGTGAAGTAGTAAAGCGGAGGGGTTCGGAGTAAGTTATACAACCGCAGTGTTCATGACAGGGCCGGGTACTCATAGTAACGAGCCCATGCAATTGAATGATGTTGTTAGTATTTTTCAATGATTGTATTCAACCAGTGGTCGTTAGGGCCACAAAAAAAGAGCTGCTTTCTTTCAGAGTTGGCCTATCGGCCCTTATCATGCATATGCTGGAAGTCGCACTCGTCGACGTCATGGTCCAATTGAGAGCAATCAACCAGGATTTTAGTCTGTCGTCTTTGCTACAACGACTCAGATGTGATATGCACAATGACACAATATATCCGTCTCGTTTTTGGTCCTTACGTTCCACTAAGTTGGATGTCACTGACTTGTACTGACGCCAAAGGCCGTTCTCGCGACACACATGCTCCGCTTATTGTGAGCCAATCGGCAAAGGTCTCAACCTCAACGCAGAGACAAGTAGTAGCATAGAAACGGCCAGATTTATGGGTCCGCCTCAAGCTGGTCTTGCATGAGAAGTATAGCATATCGGCTGGAAGCTCGTGTCGAACCAGCCTTTGAAGCGAGTCTGCATGGCATGTACCATTTGCAAGCAGGGGTGCTCAATGCACCGCGGTTGCCCGCCATTGGTATAAAACACGCGCGAGCTTATGGTTGATCGACTATACGTACCTATCAGACATCTAATTTGATACTTGCTCACTGAGGTTGCATGGTTTATGCAACACAAAAAATTGCACCTACACATGGCAAGCAATTTTCGAGCGTGTGAGCATTTGACATACCACGTTCCAAACAACAATTGGCACGAACGGTGCATGGTTAATTGGATCAGTTATCAATTCAAAAGCAGAATATCAGTGGGGCTTGACAGTGACATGAAAACAAGGCTTGATGCTATGAAACTTTTGAATGTTCTCTAGTTGCGACTTGGATCCGATTGATGCACATATCGGTCCCATGTTCGCTCTCTTGGGCTAAACGGATAGAAAACTCTCCGCCTAAGCTCACTCCTGAAGTTGTACGGTTTCTGCTCTACGCGCACCTTCTTTGGTTTTGCCTCTACCTGCTCCGAGCATGCTCCAATTTCTTGCTTCCTAGCACGTTCATAGCTTATCCGTTTGAAATACAAGTGACGGTGAGAATTCCAGTCCAGCTGGGCCAACGCTATCCTTATAGGGAAGCTAAGCCCGAAGAAGAAGGTTTTGCAGGCGTACTTTATGTTCAACCTATGCAAGCCCTCGACGCATGCGGACTCTCTGCAACGGGTCTAATTTAACAAATCTTGTTCGCCAAAGCGAACTCTCGGAGACCTTCCTCCAGATCCCTAGCTGCAATACCCCCAAGTTCCGAAGTGGAGTGTACTCTAACTTATCATGAACGTGCTGGCAAAAGTCGTGGCAATCCTGAAGATGGTGCACCAGGTTCCCTACAAACCTGACTAACAGATCCGTAACTGAGTCGTTGCCATCCTTCTTCGTCTCGTCGCAAGCCCAATAGAAATGATTCACAACCGTTTGAGCTAGCCCTTGCTTGCCACCTGATTTGAGCAGCATCTCAGAATTAAGGGTCTGCAACTCCTCATGTTTCGCGGTAAGAGACTCTATCATTGGACGCAACCCGTTTTTGATCTTATGCCACATATCTTTGCTGTTATGTACACCGGGAAGCCCAGCTATTTTCACGTCGACACTGCTGTTGTCATCATGAACCACCTCGACCATCCGCTTACCCAACCCCTCAAGAGTTTCCTTGACGTGAAGCAAGCCCCGCCCCGAACCCTCCGTCTCCATAGCCTGCGCCTTGATCCCCTCTTTAGAGCTCACCACTTCTGCATGAAGGATGAGGGTTGTTTGGTTGTCCAGGAACTCGGTGCAACTGTTCTTTCCGTCTTGATCCGTGTCCCACTGGCAGTCCACCTCGACCCGCACGTCCGCCCCGCACCGCTGTAGCGCGCGGGCAAAGCTCTCGTCCCGCATCGCAAAAACCACCTGCGCCAGGCGGTGCTTCTGGAATCGATAGAACGCCCATTTGGAAAGGGGCGGCATCTTCATGCCTGCAAAGGAGATCGATTCATTTTGGAAGCGATACGATAGAGCTGGCAAAAGTTTGTAGCTTTGCTGGTTGGCTGAAATGGGATCTTATCGTAGCATAAGCTATAAGCTTTCAAGACCGCCTTTTTCCCCGGCAGCAACTTCAGGACCCCACCAATCCGAGGTTTCTTTGCTTTGCCGCGGCCATGATCCTTCATGCAGGCCTTATATACGCTGAGAAGTTGAATGGTCCTCATCGCTTATCAAACAAGGACGAGAGACGCACTGATTTGGTGGCCAGCAGAGCCAGCACGCAATCCTCAACCCTATGTACTAAAAGCTTCCGCTAATCGCAACTTAGAGTCTCACGCCGCTGCCTTGGTTTCAGAACTCACAGTAAACTTGAGCAGGCAAGTCAGACATGTATCAATGTTCAACGACCAGACTGCAAGCCAACCAGATCAGTGCCAGATGATGGTTACGAGTACCAACTATCCTATGGTCCGCGAACCAACCAGATCAGTCCCATGAGAAACTTATATCTAAGCTTGTCAAGGCCAGAGACCAGGACCAGCTGCTAAGCTAGGAGAAGTTCATATACAACCAAATTGATGCCAACTCACCTGCGTAAAATGCTCGCAGCAATTCGTAAGTCCCGCCGTCCGACAGGCACGCCGCATAACCCCGGCCGTTCAGCTCTGGGGCCCCGTGGAGGAGCTCCATCTCGCTCGCAATCCACGTGAACTCAATGCCGCACCCCGAGCACCTCAGCCGCACAGCAAGGCACTGGCCCAACCATGTGTGAGGACTAGGGATCACACTGCCATGAGCGCCATGCGTTGCACAAAACTCCATCAGCTGGTAAGCCCTAGAGACATGCAAGAACGACACCTCCGGCGCCTGCGTGCCTTCCTGCAACTCGACTCCCGCGTCACTCTCCTCCTCTCCGTCCTCTTCCATGACAATAGCCTGGGGAGCCTGCTGCTCTTGTGCTCTCTGATTCAGCGTATAAGGGGGCGGAATGAACGGAGGTCCTCGAGAATGATACGAGCACGGCGTGCTTGTGCTCCCAGAATAAGGGGATATGGGGGGGGTGGCGCTAGGAGTAGAAAACGAGAATGGGGAGCGTGCAGGCTGCGGGACCGGGGTGGTGGGATTGGTGCTGTCTTCCGGTTGCCTGGCCAGAGGAAAGGGAGCCACGTCTACGATCATACTTGGGTGGCCGATCCAATACAGATTCAACGCCTTCCAAAGACTGGGCGCTTGCTCGGGCCCCGCAAACATGTCTTCCACCACTTTTCCCAAGAAGCCACCCACCTTGGCGGACTCCCAATCCCCCGTCGACGAGACTCTAGCTTGATAACCGTACAAAGGAGCAAGCAACTCCAGCTTCTCCACCAGCGTCGGCGGCAGCTCAACTCGCACTGATCTGACGTTTGCATCTCTGAGTTGTTCTCTCGCCTTTCGCTTCCTTAGGGCATCTGCTGCCTTCCTGTCCGCGGTCGCTGCTGTGGAAGCCTTAGCAGCGGTAGAAGTGCCTGCCAAAAAGCACGTGACTTCAATTGAATGCAGCTGCCTGGACATTCATATGATCAACAAGAGTTGCTTGCGTCGGACCCACAATGTCATTGAGCAGAATAGTCACCCTGTTGAATTACTCTGTTGAACAGCCCCAAGATTAAGTTCATGTACAGGCATTCAAACGTGACAAACAGTAATGCTTTTGTCCCTCCTTTCCCAAGAGGCGGTTTGTGATGCAATGTCCTACCTGAAGCCCGCTCGACCTCTGGTGACATCACCGTCCGAGCTGGATCAGACGCCGCTGCTGTCCTCTGGCCTTGTTGAAGATCCTCCATTCTCAGCCCCCCCGAATGCTGCACAAAAGATAGTCATGACTCAGTCCATAAGAGATTAGGTGATGTGCATGTCCTGGACATTTCACCGGTCAGAAACTGAGAGAACAAAACGACGTGAGTGGAGTCTTGATTTACGTGTTACCTGTTTGTGGACGGTTTATCCCACGGCTGTCTTTCGCCTTTTGCGCATTCTTTGCCCTCTCCAGTTGTTTCTGTATGGAGCCCATGTAACCCAACAAATATTCCTTCTGGTCATCTACTCGCATCGGATTCCCCTGTTTGGCCATGGGGAAGTGAGAATGCCTGAACACTGTTTTGAGCTGCTCGCCCTTGAGCGACTTGATTGCTTCAGGGGTGGCATCTCTAAGTCCCACAAAATTGAACCCCTTGACCTGAAGGCCCTCCAGGATAAACACCTCTTCTGAACCTTCATTTGAGATGGGAGGAAGTGTGGGCTGCTCAATGAGTAAACCGGCAGGCTTTGGATGCTCGCACACTACGCAGATATCTCGTTTCAAGGACCAGTAATGTTCATTTGCTGGGCAAGTAGGTTTTTTGGTTTTCCTAGCCCTTTTGGAAACTAGTCGAGATGGTAGACTCGCTTCCTGGCCAGAAGCTATCTGACTTACAGCAGCAGACTGTTTGCTAGCTTCCACTGAAGTGTATCCACATTTGGTGAATGTGCCAAACACTAATTACAACCGCTCGCTTTCGTGTTTTGGGCAGATCCTGTGGCACTTGTCCACTTTGCAACGTTCTCAAAATTGATACACATTGTTCCCTCAACTCTTGTAGTGTTCCAGTTACTTTCATTTTCTTGGGGAATGCTCTGCATAAATCTTGAAGCTGCACCTTCGTAAGACCCTGAAGATCATTTTCCGAGTGTTCCTCAAAAGGTCGTTTATATACAGAGCGATGTGTTTTTGTCACTGTTGCTCTTTCACTTGACGCACGGCCAGCTCCAAGTTGTACAGTGGGTATATTCGAGTCTAATGTTTGCAGCACTGAAGCTGGGCGCTGAGAGCAAAGAGGAGAAACTCCTGGGCCTTCCATCTTGCAAAAAAAAAGTGATAAGAAAATGACAAAGCAAAGTAGATTACAGCAAATGTATCTTTTCTCACCTGGATTTCGAATCTGACAGCTGTCTGAACGCCTTGGGCTCCTGTTTGATCTTGACCGTCGAAGGACAATGGACGGCCGGCAGCAGACCATCCGTTTTCTACGGGCCGTTTGGAAGCTGCAAGAGCTAAAAATATTCCAAAGAAGAGCAGCTTGTGCACTATCTCTGCCAACATACTTTCACGTCAAATTCCTAATGAGTGCCGGCAAAACTGGAAACCCCAAGAGCGATGCTGCAGAAGCCATGACCAAGCTGGTGCAGTCCCTCTGTCCTGGATGCCAGTGAGCGACGAGCTGCGATAGACAAGGCCGCGCCCATTCTGAAAGCGATATCCTAGCAGGAAGACGCGCCCTTTCTTGGTTCAGCTGGCGAGAGCCTGAGTCCGAGGCTGTGGTAAAGGTCTGCCTTCGATCAGGCCCGCTTTGCGGCGCGGAAGGTCGTTATTCACAGCGTATTTCAAGGGAGGCAGTCAATCACTCTTTTCGGCCCCGTTTCTTCAACTCCACTGTAGGACCCAGCGCGGGGCGCGCGTCAGCATACGTCATGCGGATGCATCCGCAGACGCCCTCTTTAAAGGGACCCCGGCTGGTGCCCGAGCTCGGTAGCTGGTAAACGAACTCCTTATGGTGGCCTCAACTGGCCGGTTTACCATACCGGTACCCTATCGATATACTACGGTAGGTCCTACCTAGCGGGTGCAACCGGGCAAGCGGGGGCCGCTGCCTCAGGCTGTGGCTGGCCGGCCGGGACGAATCACTGAAATTTCCATTGAGTGACAATAGAAATAGGATCTAATAGGATACCGTACCGTAGTTTAAATCAGGTTCACCGGATGATACTTTTTTCACTGCAAAGTGTTATGATATCATTATTGCTATTTTTGCCTTTTCAAAACCAATGATATCAAAATGATATCAGATACGTCACCCAGACTCTGACAGTCTGTCTGTAAAGGCTATACGGAATTTCGAATTTTGCACCAGTTTTCGACGATCCAGGGGATCATGTGCCATCGTTGGTCTCAAGATCCTCGAAAGTCGAGGCAGATCTCCAGCAATGTTGTATATCAGGCCGAAAAATTGGAGAAAGCCCTCAGCTCGTATCATTTTGAATAGCAATTTTTTTGGTCAATTTCTACGATGATATCCGAATATTGCTAGTTTTGAGCTCCCTCGAATCGATTGCTATCATCAGTGTTTCCCAGTGTTTCCCCTGGTGGCCCACTCCCTGCTAAAATGGCCATCAATGGTCCAGATGGGCCACCAATGGGGGGGTGGAGGTGGCCCAACGGGCCACCATACGGAGGGACAAGGTGGCCCGGTGGGCCATCAATCAATGCACCGAAGTGGCCTACCTTAGAAGTTAGAGGGCGTATAAGCTTGAAATCCCGACGATATTTCTAAAGATCACTGCCAAAATGGCATATTATGCACTATATTTGAAGGTAAACCCCTTCGAGCCGGGCTGTTTTGGTGCTGCACCCGACCTAACTTCAGCCCAGGGTCCAAAAAGATGTGTAGTATAGCACTACGACAAACGTGGCATATGCGCTCTACTATTTTCTCATCTTGTGTATGTCGATCGTTCAAGAAAGCAGTCAAAAAACCTGATTTTGCGTGGAGTTGGGCCACCAATGGTCATGGTCGGGTGGCCCGTTGGGCCACCAACTGAAGCCTCTGGCCGTCAATCTAAAAAGTTGGGGGAAACACTGGTGTTTCCCCTAATTATTTTGATTGCTGGCCGCCGGGCCGGCCGGGGCCTGAGTTTGCCGGCCTGTTGGGCTGGGCCGAGGTCGCCATTGCCGGCCCAAGTCCCACCGAAATATATGGAATTTTCGCGCGCGCACCCCATATATTGGAACTTTTACGGTATCTGCTCCAGTTTCGTTGTCTTTGATAAGTCTCTAGATTTTTAACGTGTGAAAGATCGACCAACTTCCTACCCCACCTACCGAGGTGTTTATTCTGTGGTAGTTCTGGCCAGAAGTACCCGGGTAAGAGTTTTTTTTGGGACCAAAACCTTAAATTGTCATCAAAATCTATTCTTTCTGCACTCTAAATACGATGAAAGAGCCAGAAATAATCTTTCATTGCCGGCCCAAGAGGCCGGCCGGTGCCCCGCAATGCCGGCCGGATGGGCCGGAGGCCGGCCCCCATTGCCGGCTCAATTTGACCATTGCCGGCCATTTTACCAGAGAGTGGGCCGGCATGCAGGGGAAACACTGGCTATCATACATCATGCGGTGACCCTGGTTTAAATAAGATCACCAGCCCTGGGACGGATGGGGTTAATTTGGGGGTTAGGGTGGGTTTGGGTTCATTTGTGTAGGTTAGGCTTTTAGTGTTTAGTGTTTTGTTTAAGCTTACTTTTCCTTAATACTTTAAAAGGAGCGTGCTGCGTGCCTCTATAAAACCCCCTATTGCCACATTTCCACAGACAAGGTTGTGCCCGGGGAATACCCGGCGGTATGGCGCAGTGCCAAGCCCCTCCGGTTGCCAGTTCGACTCGTGGAACGTGTTTGGCTAGGAGACACCGAGAATCGACAAACCTTCTCACGTGCCACGCTGCAAATTAACGAAATTTCGGACCTGTGCCACAAAACGACAAGCTATCCTGCTGATCCTTACCGTCCGCCGGTCCAAGCTGCTTCATCGACCGCTCAGAAGTTTTGAAGAGAGCCTCTGATGATCGTTCGATGCGCACGTTTCTCTGGCGCCCCGTTGCGATGCTTTCATCAATCATTGAATGTCAATGATAAGCGGGCGGAACGCCAGAACTTTATAGATTAAACAATTCCTAAATCAAAGTAAATTTACGGTCTCAGTACCGCCGATGCCGCTTGAGCTGGAGGCATCGACGGGCTCGACCATGTGTAGATTCAGGACGTACCGACTGCTCGACGGTACCCGGTGAGTATGACCGATGCTTTCCACCGGGCACAAATTGCATTTTACCACTCTCAAAACGGCCCGGGTTCTCCACGCGCTGTTCCGAAGCCATATAAACCGTACTAGGAGGATACCGCCCGAGAGGGCGGTATCCTCCTAGCCCACGTCTAGTTCCTTTCTGGGGGCACCCGCTGAGCGGCGCACATACATATACAGTGCACTCCATAGGAGCAGGTGGGTAGCCGAATCTGGATTTGCCTGAGGGATCAGCGAAAGTCATAGCGGAGCCGTTCGATGAACTTTTTGGAAACTTGAACCGCTTGATCAAACTGCCAATGTCGGAGAAGAAGGGGCCTAATGAAAGTAAACAACCCATGACTCGACTGTTATGAGCTTGACAGGGACAAAGCAGGAGGTAGCGACTTCGAGCTGCTTGATGGCTGCGGAAGCCATGACCTGAGGCTGTGGCACCACAGCGCAGCTCACAGCTTTCTTTTCTTGCAAGATTCACGCTTTTCTCTCAGGTTGGGCTCATGTTTGAAGATGATTGACATGCTTTTTGAGTGCGTCTAAGCCTGCAATTGGCTTTCTGCAACGGCTGGCAGAAGAAAGTGCTTTTCGTTCCACAAAAACAATACGATACGCTTCGGAGCGTTGGCACAAGGGGCAAATGAGCATCTCTGGAGCCCGGGGTGGCGACTCTAGTTTTAAAACATGTCATGTGCGGAGCAAAACACCCCGTTTGGCTTGCTTCGCCCGTTTTAAAACTGTTTTAAAACGGTTTAAAATGGTTGAAAAGCGCCCCAAAGGCGTTTTATTTACGTCTTATAGGCTTTTCTTGGTTTTTGTGCATATATTACATCCATCTAGACTGAAAACAATCAGCTTATAGCAAATAAAACCCGAATATGTGAAGCAGAAGGCATTTTAAAACGTTTTGGTTGTTTTGCTGTTTTTAAAACAGGGATATTTTTGGCCTCATCTTGGACGCA